TTTGCCAAGTCACTCCCTGAGAGAGCCCCGTTTCTCTACCTCATCACTTTCATGTTCGGGCGGTCTAGTGCTCCTCTTTCTCCATGTCTACGACATTTGAACTTTATTCTTCGCCGAACCTAATTTTGCCACATTTTCGACATGAGTATGCCGCTAAATTAGTAAACAAAAAGACTCAAAACTCAAAAATCAAAAAGAAATCATTGAAAAAGAAACAACTAAACTACGATCTGAAATTGGAATCTTAATCATCCAAAACGTATTGCCATTTTCATTGGCGCATAATAGTTTTTTTTAAAAAAAGAAACCGAAACCAAGGTTTTTTTTTGTTTGAAAAATCAACGAACCCATCCTTATACTAACCAATCATATTGTTTACTTTTTTTTTCTTTTTTTGGATTTAGAGTTCCAAAGAAAAAAAAACTCAAAATCATTTTTTTGTTACAATACAATTGCGAGGGTTCCATGTAATCAAAGGAATTACACTCCTTGTACTCCTTACAACCAGCGTCTCAGACTCTCAGAGTCTCAGAGTCTCCTTACACTCCATGTAATCAAAAGAATTTTTGTCTGACACGTCAAAACGTGAATTAAGTTCAGGAGACATAGTCAATTAAAAATGAATTCAACCTATGATGCTGTTTTTAAAGTCATAGAAACAGACGTAAAAATTTTAGCAAAAGCAATTAACCAAGCCATAAGCGATTCCGACGAAGTACAGATCATAAACGATTTCTTAACGGAATTGAAGAGCTTGCTTGACGATGCCAATAACGAAGCAGTCAAGATAATACGCATCGGAACGGACCAGCAAAACTCAATTATTGAACGATTGAAAACTTTGAAAGTTTTGTACCGAACGATCCAACTACGATCAAAACGATACGAGCGTACACTCAACAACACTGCCACGTCTTCTTTAAACTCATCACGAGTAGCCAGCAACGTCTCGACGCCTTCAATAATTCGACAAGCCTTGGAAAATCTTCCCCTTCGACGCCAAACGGAAAGTTTAACCCATAGTACTACTACACAAAACGTCACCATGGACCAGGACACCCCGGACGATTTGCCACAATTTTCAGGATTGCCAGCAATCTTAAACGCTACTTCAAACCACAGATCAAATTCCGCCCAGGACAATTCAGGACTCCTACTTCGCCCCGGATCTAACAGCGACGCCAGTACCTTGGATCATCGCATTCATCAACAACAAACAGAAACTCTTGGAACTCAAACTGCCCATGGAACTCACCTCCATCCTCAGTCAAACTTCTCATTGCAGCAGCCGAACGCCGACTTGTCACAAAGTTCAAACGTTCAGCCGAACCACCCAGAAGCTCAATTTCAAGGAACGACTATAGAATTGAACAATGGAACTCAACTCCAAATCGACAATCAGCAATTGACAGCAACAGTGGGACAAAGACCGAACTCAGAAGCTCAACTTCAAACTTCATGAAACGTCACAGCATTCCAACCCTGGAACTCAAATCCAAGTTTTCAATCAGCAGATGAAGGCACCAACAACCCGACAAAGAAATGTTTCAGCGCCAATATTTCTTCCGACAGCAACTTCAAAAGCAGCTCAGAGTCAAATGTTTGGACATCAAATCACACACCCAATTCTTGCTCCCCAGACAGCTAGCCCCCCACATGGACTATACCAGCCTTTAAGCCAACAACAGAACCAGCCTTCACGCCAACAATAGAACCAGCCTTCAAGCCAACAACAGAGGACACATAATCCGAATAGCGCCTTTAGACCCATCTTGACGATTGGAAATCAGAATTCAACCAATCATCCCCCCACCAACGTGATCAGTGGACACCAGACGACAGCTAAGGGTATCACAAACATCAACGGAGTACCGATACCAGCACAACCAGCACTACTGCCAACAAACCAAGGAGATCAACGAACAGCAACAAATTGGAATTCCAGCCAGCCGACCCTGACTCACCAATGTACACAAACTGCCATACGATTGTACCAGGAAGGATTTCTGGGAACCACGACAGCATACAACCCTACGAACATGCCGACATCATCAACAACCGCCTTCACTCATGCAGGCTGCAGGGGACCAACAGGAACAACTCACCCAAATATCAACCGACCTCCCCCTCATCAACATGCAGTCCATCAACATGCAGCACATCAACATGCAGCACATCAGAACCAGCCGACTTATTTTCCGATTCCGACCAACCTTGGAACAGCGCCGACAGACCACAACCATCATCAAACGATCTCGAAGACATCCAGGAAATCAGTGCCCATTGTCAAACCATTCATATTCGACGGAGAACCTGAACAATGGTTAAATTGGATAGGACTGTTCAACACAACCATCAACAGCACCGACATGACAAACTCGGAAAAGATGACACATCTGCAGAAACTTGTATCCGGAGATGCCAAATCTCTCATCCGAGGATATGGATGCAATGGAGCAATGTATGACGCAGCCCTTCAGCTACTGGAAAACGATCTTGGTAACCCGACGAAGATAGTTACATCCTTCCTTCGACGACTCGACGCCATCAGCGGCCCCAATCTACGACATACCAGAAGCTACAAGGACCTCGTCAACTTCCTACAGACAATGGTCGATACATTCACGACACTTGGATTCCAGCACGATCTACACTCTACGACAAATGTCCAAACAGTTTTGTCAAAACTGCCTACCCCTTGCCGACTAGAACGTAATAGATACAATCTGCAATGCAACATCAGACAACCATCACTCATCGACCTCACCTATTGGTTCAACATCTACGCCGAAGCATGCAGCGATTTGCCGAGCAACAGCAACAACAACAACACCAGAAACAGCAGCAGCAGCAACAACTACAACAGCAGCAACACTCAAGGATCATCATCCAACGGTCACGTCCACCAACATGGACCATCGGATCACCGCGCCAATCAGAACAACTGAAACCAGCAACGCAGCCAGCAGCAACATAAATCTGGACAAAAGGATCAACGACGAGATTTTTGCCCGGAGAAACGCAATTGCCAGTACCTTGGAAAATGCCAATACTTAATCGCAATGAACCCAAAGGACAGATTAGAGCATGCCAGGGACCTACAACTATGTTTCAACTGCCTCAGCCCCCACAAGTTCGCCGTCTGTCAATTAACGCAAACCTGCCGGACGGACGGATGCAGTAAGAAACACCACGCACTTCTGCACAACAGCAGCACCTACAACTCGACGACACAGAGGGAGACAGCTAACCGGAACTCCAGACAACATGACGACACCACCAACTGCAGAACCAGCATAAGCAGAAGGAAATCGACTCGCCACATTCCGACCCTGCCAATAACGATCTCTCATGGCAAACATAGAGTTCATGCCTATGCAATGCTTGATTGTGGAAGCAATCTGACATTGCTTAAATCATCAATCGCCCTCCAACTCAAACCAGATCTGCAATAAGACGACACCATCCAGCTAAACCAAGCACTGACATCATCAGACACAGCTTCTACAAAGATGACGATCGCGATTGGACCCTACAACCAGCAAAAGCGGCCATTTCAACTAAATGACATCGACGTCATAATGGATTGGAACCTTTCCCAATTCAACCCTGAACTCGTCAACTCCTTCTGCCAAAGGAACGAGCCACTTCGACACATTCGGATAGCCACACTTCCCTCGAAAGAAATCGGAATCAACATTGGATGCGATTTCGCCGAACTCGTGACACCTTCAGAAGTAATTCATTCAAAACAAAATGTGCCTATTGGATGGAAAACGCCACTTGGATGGTCTCTCTGTGGACGAGACAATGCAGCGACACCCAACGACATCAACACAATCAACTTCACGACAGACGATACACGGTTTCGCCACGTAGCTGAATGGATGAAAATGGACGCCGAAGGGATTTCAACTGACCAACGCAGCCTCTCAACAGACGACAAGGAAGCTCTCTGCATCTTGGAATCTTCAACAACCCGCTTGCCCAATGGACACTACGAAGTTGGAATGCTTTGGAAACGTGGACAACAACTGCCAAACAATAGATGGCTTGCCAAGAAGCAGCTCAACAGCCTTCTCCAACGACTGAAGAGAAACACCGAGATGGCACAGAAATATCAGGAGACCATCGACACCGACTTGCAGAAAGGTTTCATAGTCAAAGTTGATGATTCCCATGAAGACTCAACAGGAAAATGGTAACTTCCTCATCATCCAGTGACAAACATCAATAAGCCTGGCAAGGTACGCCGAGTCCTTAATGCATCGAGCATCTACAACGGAGTATCACTCAACAGCAACCTACTAACTGGACCAGACCTCCTCACAAACCTTACTGGAATCGTTATGCGATTTCGCGAGGACCAAATCGCTATTTCTGCCGACATTGAAGCAATGTTCATGCAGGTCTTTGTGAGCCCAGAGGACCAGCCGTATTTGCGATTTCTGTGGAAGGACAACACAGGCCAACCCGCAACCTTCCAATACACCCTCCACATCTTCGGAGCTACCGAATCACCATGTGTTGCCTGCTACGCCACTCGACAACGTGCGAAGGACATTGCCGACAAATATCCAGCCTTGGAGCAAATCACAAATAGCAACATATACAGGGACGACCTATACAAAGCCGTTTCAACACCAACGGAAGCGACACAGTTAATGAACGACCTTCAAAAGATGTTCAGCCTTGGAGGTTTCAACCTCACAAAATGGACCTCAAACTCTCAACAATTCCTCACAACAGTCAACGAGAACCACTCGGAAAACAGCGACAGCCTCACCAAGTGTGAAATGGAAACCAGACACGGACGTCTTTCTTGGGGAAGCAAAGAAGTTTCACGCCATTGACAAGAAGGACATAACGCAGCGCAAACTATTGAAGTTTGCTTCTTCAATCTTTGACCCGCTTGGAATTACGATGCCACTGACAATTCGACTACAACAATCACTTCAACTTGCTGGAGTAATGGACCTCAATGGGACAAACCTCTAAACATGGAGCATTTAACAGACCTCAACGATTGGATAGACAAGCGAAGCCAATTCAACGACATCTGCCTGCCCCAGATTTACTTCGGATCAGAAACGAAGATACTGGAAACCCAACTCCATGTATTCAGCGACGCCTCCGAACTTGCCTTAGCATCAGTTGCTTACCTCAGAATCAGATACGACGACGACACAACGGAACTCAAGTTCGTCATTGGAAAAGCCCAAGTAGCACCCATCAGCAGAATTCCAAATCTCGAGCTTCAAGCCGCCACTAACGGAGCAAAACTGTCTCGTTTCATCAAAGAACAACATGACATACGAATCGACAGTACGACACTATGGACAGATAGTACAACAGTTCTTCATTGGATAAACTCGCCGAATCAACGACACCGGATCTTCATTTCCAACCGCCTGAATTTCATCATGGACTCAACATCTTCACTGGACTGGAGATACGTGCCCAGCAAAGACAACCCTGCAGACGACGGAACACGTGGTTACAAAACTTGACTACCGACTCACGATGGATCAAAGGACCAGACTTCTTGTTAAGACCATCATCAGATTGGCCTAATCACCCGCCAACACAACCTACAGCCGATATTCATCTGACAGACAACGACCCACAACCACCAACATCAGTAATCGATCGACTTCAACCGGTTTAGCACTTGGACAAGAGCACTCAGAGTTACTTCATATGTTCTTCTCTTCGCAGAAAACATCAAAAGGAAGACACGCCAGAGCCTCTCACTTCAACACCTCACCTTAGGATTCGCATGGATCATTAAACACTCACAGAATCAATCATTCCCCAAGGAAATAGCATGCCTGACAAAGAAATCTGACATTCCACCCCGCAGCCCTCTACAACATTTTTGCCCCTTCATCGACGATCACGGATATTTACGTGCCAAAGGACGACTACAGAAAGCCCCGCTTCTACTTTGAAGCCGACATCCGGTCATTCTGAACGCAGAAAACTACCTAATACAACTCTTCATGAAGCAAACACACGAAATAATTTCCCATTGTGGAAGATCACGCAAGCATCTGAAGAAAACCATTCGACAATGCATACCTTGCCGACGCCTTCGACAGGAATCAGTGAAGCCTCTGATGGCAGATCTACCCCTACAACGACTCCCTTTATCGGAAAACAGTTACCCCTTCTGTTCAACAGGAATTGACTTCTTTGGACCCTTTGCCACGCGGAACAACGACGAGTACAGTAAGCGATACGTTCTCTTCTTCACCTGCCTCGTCACGCGAGCAGTTCATTCAGAAATATGCCAGCAAATCGACACAAACTCAACTCTACAAGCCATACGCCGTTTCATCGCTAGATGTGGTAAACCCAGGATCATCTTCTCTGACAACGGAAAAGCCTTCGTTGCAGCTGACAAGGATTTACAGGAAAGCCTTTCTGAGATTCAACACAGCAATGACTTCAACAATCAATGCCAATTACTTGGAATAACCTGGAAGTTCAACCCACCTGCAGCTCCTCACTTTGGTGGATCATGGGTACGCCTCATAAAAACATTTAGGATTGCCTTCTACAAAGTCATTGGAACACGGACACTGGACGACGAAACTCTGTCAACCTTCACGTGCGAGGTTGAAGCTATGATGAATTCTCGCCCGCTAACCCACGTCTCATCAGACCCAACCGACGACGAGCCCCAAACACCCAATCACCTTCTACTAGGACGACCAACAAACAATTTGCCTCCCGGATTGTTTCTCCCTCGCCACACAACGGACAAGAGAACTTGGAAACAAGCTCAAGCCTTGAGTCAACAGTTCTGGAACAGATACCTCAAAGACTATTTGCCAACCTTGATGACCCGAACGAAATGGACAAAGCAAGTGGAAAATCTTCAGCAAGGAGACCTTGTATGGATACTGGAAGACCTAACGCCTCGAGGTCTTTGGCCCCTGGGACGGGTACTTCGTACTTTCCCAGGTGCAGACGGAATCGTTCGCTCCTGCGAAATTAAAACTAGCAGGGGGATTCTACACCGACCAGCAGTCAAACTCTCGCGAGTATTGGACCACAGTAACAACTAGATGACCAACATGATCAACGACAGCTAACAACTAGATGACCATTACAATCAACGACGACGTACAATCAGCTTCAACGAACAATTTTCTAATTTGCAACCTGCAAATGGGCCCGGCTATGTCTACGACATGTGAACTTTATTCTTTGCCAAACCTAATTTTGCCACATTTTCGACATGAATATGCCGCCAAATTAGTAAACAAAAAGACTCAAAACTCAAAAATCAAAAAGAAATCATTGAAAAAGAAACAAATAAACTACGATCTGAAATTGGAATCTTAATCATCCAAAACTTAATGCCATTGTGATTCCATATGCTGCCATCAATAAGACTTCCGTGGGGCGGTCCCAACGGTTATTATGCCCCAAGATGTTTATCAAGGCGGTCAGCAACATGACTACCTCTGGGTCCTCCAGAGCGAAGTCTCGATCCATTAGCCTCTGATAGATCACACTACCATCGGTCCCACATATGCTTCTGCCAGGTCCATCAATTCGTCCAAGTTCAAATTGTCCATTTTCTTGCAGGTTTGTTTTTACTATCGATTCGATGATTTGAACTCAAGTGAGTAATTAAACGATCAATCAGGATCTAGAAAAGAGGTCACGAATTTCGCATTTGTCAGCTTTACACTAGTTTTATATTAAAATTTATTCAAAACAGTCAGATAAAAAGATTTTGATCCTAAAATTTATTAAAATCAATTCGTTGCTAAAATTTTGGAATTCGACCTAAGAATGGACAGTCCAAACTTTGGATCTATTCCTAAGAACGTCATTAGGTTATTCATGGTCACTAACTCCTTCTTACCCAGGGTCTTAATAACCTAACCCATAACATAACATAGCACACATATCACACACAACACACTTTTAGTATGACGTCTTCCTGCATGCAGCCTAAACTAGGCCCATATTTAAATAATATTTCTTATGCAAGTATACTTGTATATTAGTATCAGAGAAGATTACGTGTATCAGTGCATACAACTCCTGTGGATGCAGTCGTCCTCGGTTCGGATCTTACACTGGAAGGGAAAGTTCCTTCACTTCCCTTTCCACAAGGAAGTCTCGCAACCTCGTCAAGGACAAGACTAGATTTTCCGGGTCCACGTGACGCTTCTCCGTCGCCCTCGTCACCAAGAAGCATAAATATTTTCCCGATATCTGTGACAATGCCGGACGCAAAGCTGCTACGCCTCCTATTCCTGGCCTCTGCTTCCAAAGAAAATCTAAGTTTTTATAATCTCTCTTAAAATCCGCTGCTAACGCTGTCTTAAAACTCATGTCTGCTGCGATCGCTATCGCACATGTTCTATTCGTGAGTATAAAATCACTATCTTTCAACGTTATTATACTTGAGTATTCATTTGGTAAGTTAAAAATTGACTCAACTACTCTCCCTATGCCCGGTTTCTTAGGGTCCTCGTCTGTTTCTGCTTCTAGATCACCTGTCTCTCTTGTTATTCCTAATTTTTTTTAAAACAAATTTCCAGTTTGGGCAAGTCCTATCACCACTCCCCGGACAAAAATATCCATCGACGTCCCCGTCGATCGCATACCGGATATCAAATCGAGGTTGGAAGCCGGAATGAGTAATGGTCCTTCCTGGGCAGCCCAAGAGGGATCACCCTTTTCGGTTTTTACGTATTTCATGCTTCCACGATCTACATCTTGAATCGTGACACTGGTCTCCTTTGGGTCCGACGTCATTTCGTTCAGACATTCCAAGACACGCAAATTCTCCGTCCAAGATGGATGAAATGACGTCAAATTCTCCGAGGAGTACATTCCAAGACACGAGAAAGTACTCCTCTTTCTCCATATGCTGCCATCAATAAGACTTCCGTGGGGCGGTCCCCACGGTTATCATGCCCCATGATGTTTACCAAGGCGGTCAGCAACATGACTACATCTGGGTCCTCCAGAGCGAAGTCTCGATCCATTAGCCTCCGATAGATCGCATCTACCATCGGTCCCACATATGCCTCTGCCAGGTCCATCAATTCGTCCATATTTAAATTGTCCATTTTCTTGCAGGTTTGATTTTACTATCGATTCGATGATTTGAACTCAAGTGAGTAATTAAACGATCAATCAGGATCTAGAAAAGAGGTCACGAATATCGCATTTGTCAGCTTTACAATAGTTTTATATTAAAATTTATTTGAAACAGTCAGATAAAAAGATTTTGATCCTAAAATTTATTAAAATCAATTCGTTGCTAAAATTTTGGAATTCGACCTAAGAATGGACAGTCCAAACTTTGGATCTATTCCTAAGAACGTCATTAGGTTATTCATGGTCACCACCTCCTTCTTACCCAGGGTCTTAATAACCTAACCCATAACATAACATAGCACACATATCAGACACAACACACTTTTAGTATGACGTCTTCCTGCATGCAACCTAAACTCAGCCTATACTTAAATAATATTTCTTATGCAAGTATACTTGTATATTAGTATCAGAGAAGATTACGTGTATCAGTGCATACAACTCCTGTGGATGCAGTCGTCCTCGGTTCGGATCTTACACTGGAAGGGAGAGTTCCTTCACTTCCCTTTCCACAAGGAAGTCTCGCAACCTCGTCAAGGACAAGACTAGATTTTCCGGGTCCACGTGCCGCTTCTCCGTCGCCCTCGTCACCAAGAAGCATAAGTTTTTTCCCGATATCTGTGACGCTGCCGGACACAAAGCTGCTACGCCTCCTATTCCTGGCCTCTGCTTCCAAAGAAAATGTAAGTTTTTATAATCTCTCTTAAAATTCGCTGCTAACGCTGTCTTAAAACTCATGTCTGCTGTGATCGCTATCGCACATGTTCTATTCGTGATTATAACTTCGGTCAACGTTATTATACTTGAGTATTCATTTGGTAAGTTAAAAATTGACTCAACTACTCTCCCTATGTCCGGTTTCTTAGGGTCCTCGTCTGTTTCTGCTTCTAGATCATCTGTCTCTCTTGCTATTCCTAATTTTTTTTATTAACAAATTTTCAGTGTGGGTAAGTCCTACCCCCACTCCCCGGACAAAATTATCCATCGATGTCCCCGTCGATTGCATACCGGATATCAAATCGAGGTTGGAAGCCGGAATGAGTAATGGTCCTTCCTGGGCAGCCCAAGAGGGATCACCCTTTTCGGTTTTTACGTATTTCATGCTTCCACGATCTACATCTTGAATCGTGACACTGGTCTCCTTTGGGTCCGACGTCATTTCGTTCAGACATTCCCAAGACACGCATATTCGTCAAGTCTTGTTCATATGCCTGCTGTTGCTCGTCGTCGAATTCTACCTCGGGCTTGGACCGGTCATCGACCCACTCCTCGTCGTGATCATCGTTTATGTCAACGTCCTGTGACACAGTTATTTCTTCTAGACGCACTACTTCTTCCACTATCTTCTTTACATCTATGCTGTCCACTACGAAGTCGT